TATTGACAAATGTTTTCATGTAGGCTTTGCTTTTATAGAGGCATTTTTACAATTGCATAAAATGAAGTGAAATTGTTTTGAACCCACCAAGCTTTAAGTTTCCTAAGCAGAATCTATGCATGTGATTTTCTTTTGATTACTCTCTCCTTCTTAATGCCTGGTAAAACCGGGTGCAAGTGTGGTCAATAGCTGGCTGTTTGGCAGTTCTCTAGCAGTTTTTTTCCATGTTCTCCTTAAGAATCCAAACCCACTAGTTTCCACAGACTTTTGCTTTTTATTTCCCATTATGCTAGATAATTATTTATTTTTAACACATTGTCATCAGAACTGTACACATCACAACACTACCTGTCAAATAGGCTTATCATTCATAAATACTGACATTATTCCGATATTATCAGAATTTTTCCTCCTTGATTTTTATATTAATCTGTAGAAACCAGGTGGTCTACACATCATTTTATTTTGCATTTTCAGGGAAAATTTGATGTTAGGAATTAGGTATAAATGTACAAAATCTTTCTCGCTAATGTGATTACCGTGAGTCAAATGAAAACCTGAAGGGGAAAAGCATTGTTTAAGTGATATTCTTTAGCAAGAATATTTGGACAGTAGCTAGCTTTCCCCTCAATAGCTATAAAACTAAGGGTGGGAGTGGACGTGGTAACAGAGAACTAAGAATTAGAGAGTTTTAAATCAAGTGTGTGCAAATCAGAACTACACTAGAATGTGTTGATTTCTGTTTGAGGTAATTTCCCTGGAGATAACAGGGACGATTTGAAAAGACCATTGGATTTATAATCAGAAGATATGCGTTCATTTTCTGCTACTGCTGCATGCTAATGGCTTTACCTTCAATAGTCATTTGACCTTGAACAGTCCCTTGGCCTGTCCTTGTGTATATAATGAGAACAGTATTTGCGTCCCACAGGGGTGGGTAGCATGCTGTGAATGAGTGCTTTGTGAACGATCAAACAATATTTAAAAATCTTTTCCAGCATTCAGGTCTATATTTTGTTTTTTTGCATTTTCTGTTTTCTAAAATCTCCACGACAACGTTATCATTTCTTAGCATGTGTATCCTCCATTCCGACCCTCTGCCCACTCCTGTCATTTATTATCTATTTATTCATTTATTTGAATGGATACTAAGGGCTACTCTGCTAGGCGCATGAACTCTCTCTTCAGGGTATCCCCAAATCAGGACAAGTCAACTCAGATGAGGGTAACGTTCTCTGTACTTTAGATCCCTCTTCTCATACTTTCCTTTCATTTCTCTCCTATAGGTGAAGTTTACAGAGAGGAAACTGCCTGGATGCTAGATGTTGAAGGAATCAGATGGAGCTTGGTATAAGCAGTCTTGGTTTCTAAGCAGGAAGCTGCATGAAATTTTCTCGCCCTTTCAGAAGGGTCTCTAGTGTCTCCTGAAGAGTAACCATGGGACCAGCTAACAATTAAGGGTGTCAATGGAAAATGCTTTTCTTCCTCTGACAGGAACATCCACAAAGAGTCTTAATGGGATGTTGCAGTTCCTTTGTAAAAAAGGAAAAAAAAATCACTCATTTTTATGGGCTTCTTCCTACTGACTCAGTAGTACTCAACTGCCAATATATGTGTCTATATATTTTATTAGGTCATTAAATTAACATTGAAATACTAAGTTTCAGTTTGTGCTTAAGGTCTCAGTGAGAGATAACTACCCATAATATAGTTAGGGCTTATAGTTATTTGTAAAATATGCCAAGAACATCTGAGACACCATTCTCTTGTACTGAATCAAATTTTTAGCAAATGATGTATACAAAAATTGATACTTGACAAAAATACAAAATTTTGGAGGAAATTTACATGATTACTCTATCATACCATTTTAGCATCAGTTAGTGATGCTAAAATAGATAGCTACATTTTGAATTAATTATGGCTTGCACTTTTAAACTGATACATCTATTTACGCATTTGCATTGTATAAATATATATTTCATTTATCACATTTATGGATTACATAATTTAATTTCTTTGTGTTGTTACTTTATATTTTTTGGATCTGTACAATTCTGACGTAGTAAACTAAAATGTACCAACATGGGCCAGCCCGGTGGCGCACTGCTACAGTGCGCCGTTTGGGAGCGCAGCGGCGCTCCTGCCGAGGGTTCAGATCCCACATACAGACCGGTTCCCACTCACTGGCTGAGCGAGGTGCGGGAACAACACCGAGGGTTGCGGTCCCATGGCGGTCCTGTGCCGGTCCCGGTCCGGTGCGGGCGCGACACTGAGGGTTGCGATCCGTTGCCGGACACGAAAAAAGACAAAAAAAATAAAAAATAAAAAAATAAAATGTACCAACATGATTATGTATTTACATAAAGCTTCCTAACATTTCTATTGGTCTTTGTTTTACAGTTTTAGTTGCTATATCTTCTAGCACGTATCCATTTGGGATAATTTTAACTTAATCAATTGTATCCAGTGGTGTGCTGGTAAATGGTTAGCAACTGGCTTTAGAGGAAAGGAGGAAGAAAGCCCTGTTTTGTAAATTTTCAATTTCCATGATGTATAATATCACATGGTGACAAATTTCAATGTGATGTCATTGAACACAGAGCTAGGAATAAATGCTGACGATAGGTTCTTACAAGCTGGTACCAGCCAACTCCACAACACCCCTGATTTTTATCTTTTTTCACTATGTAAGTTTCCTCTTTATCCTGTTGGTGTTTAAACTTTATATTTTACCTTGTCTAATATTAATATTGTTGTTTCTGCATTGTTTTGGTTCACATTTGCTTTGTATGTCTTTGTATATTTCTTTATTTCCATTCTACATTAATAAATTTTAAGTATGTTTCCTATAAATTCTATATAGTGATTTGTGTGCCCGTGTGTTTTAGAGTGACAGCCTTATGTATTTGCATGTTTGTTTGTTTGTTTGTTTGTTTGTTTTTTGTCTTTTTCCATGTCCGGCAACGGATTGCAACCCTCAGTGTTGCCCCCGTACCGGACCGGGACTGGCAACGGNGTAGAGAGAATTTGTGTTTCTCTGACATAAATTTAAAAGAGAGAGAACAAAGAACATGGGCTGACTAACATTTTGCAAGCATGCCTCTATCTCCACTAGAATGCTCACTCCTTGAAGTCTAGGCCTTTGTTCACTTCGGTATTCCTAGCTGTTGGTGGAGTACCAAGGACTCAAGGAGAAATAATTTCAATGAATAAAATGGATTTAAAATGAACAACAATCAATCATCAACCCTCAATTTCTACACTATACAAATCTTGTTAAAAAGTTTTAGACTTTACTAAAGTTTACAGTAGAAGTCATGCAAAAATTATGTATATAATATGAGATTTATATTGTTTCTTTCCTCTGAAGACCTCCAAGTTGTGTACATAAAAAAGATTCATGCAAAATTAATCTCACTCATGTTCTTACTGCTCTCTGAGGTCAGAAATATAGTCAGTGTTGGAAGATTGAGAACATTTTGAAAAAGTACCAAGTACTAAAGAGGCTATTTCAATTTTTGTAATTTCACACAAAAGCCAAATGTTTTGGGAATCATAAAGACCAGTTTCTTGAAGTCTGTATAGCACTTAACACAGAAGTCGATTCCAAGCAAGGGAGCAGAAACTGGGAAAATGAATGAAAAAGCTGCAGCTTTTTTTTTTTTAATAGAAAAAGGGAAAATAGCCACATAAGAAAAAGCTACTACCAATTAGTGCCAAAGAAGAATAAATGATGGAGAAATTACTTGAATAATCGGACTGATAGGATATCTAAGAGCTCTTTCTGACATGAAACTTATGAACAAGTGCCATTTAACAGGAATATTCTACAAGACTGTCACAGATAACAAGGGAGAGGACTAATGGAGCTGAGTCTAAACAAACAAACACACAAACAAAAACATCTAGAATGTTACCCAAGTCAAAACTGGGGAGATGGTTAATTCCCACTTCAGGTTTAAGGTAAATGATCTGATTTGAACTTTGAACTTATGGTCAGATAAAAGGTTTTTTTTTTTTTTGTCTTTTTTTGTGACTGGCAACGGATCGCAACCCTCAGTGTCGCGCC